TGTCCACATAAATTGACGTGTAGTCAGCTAAAAAATTTCTTTTCCACGTAAATTTCATGTTGCATAAGAAGACAATTTTCGAATGGTTATGTTACTCTTTGCAATTGTAATACACGGCTATCAGTAAATTTGTCGATTAGCTTTTTATTCAGAAAAAAATTATATGGTCTTTTAAGCATACTTAAGATTTAGTTAATTACTTACCTAAGAGCTGCGCGAGACTTCTCTGTCCTCTTTCATTCTAATGTTTTATTTACTCATTGCTATATCTCCTTAGTCATGTATGATCTTGTTAACGCTCCACGCTGTATCCTGTATCAATAAGATGCCTGCTCCTAATGTCGTATCAGGGCGATTATTAAGATTGGTTACAAAAAAACCAACATAAAATAACCAAAAAAATAAAAAAACAAAACAAACCAAAACAAAAGAACGAAACAATGAACGCCCACGACACTTAAGCTTTGATACAGTTTAGGTATTGAAAGTTATGATCTGATGGTCACAAATCAGAGTGGCCCGCCCACATGAACGACTTATTCAATTCTAAATCAGCCTCAAACGCCCCGCTTTGTTTCCAATAAATATGATAGCAACAATAATATGTAAGTCATGCCCTGCACCAAACATCGGTCTGTGGCCTGCTTCGATGGCATGTTCGTGACTCTTAAAAAGCGGCATTTTAGTTTTACCCAGTCCACTATAGTTGACCATGCTGAACAAGAACGCTTGTGAGCATCTTACCCATTTACTGACACCTATTTGTAAGTCAGAGATGATGCTTCAGAATTATCATTTGCATTATAGAACAAGAATAATCTAAATATAACTTTTGGAATAAGAAATCCATACCACTTTTTCCGCAAATGGCATTTGCTGAAAAAGTGGCTACATCTGACACTTAAATACGTTTAATTAAACCGGGTTTAACTCAATGAAAATCAGAAACGGTGAACTAAAGAGCTGGTTTTCCCATAGTTTCAAGTAATCACCAACTTTTTTCATCATACGCTGAGTTTAAGGCCAACGAACATCGGTTTAACCAGCGGTTTTATTACCGTAACTAATATATAAAACATATAGATAATGTGTCAACCTTAAGTAGGCATAGAACACCTTCAAAAATCGTCTTGAACGAGTTCTTGACACCAGGAGCCCATACTTGATGGGCTCCTGTTGACACTTATTCTTTAACTTTCGGAAAAGTTTGAAGAAATTTGTTACACTAAATCTGCTAATATTTCACTCTAATTTCCCTAACTTCTGCTATGCCAAAGATCCTAAGCCAGCTTTTTCTGTCTTTTTTACGTCTCACTGAGCTTTGTAATCTTACGTTACATTTACGTTTTCAACTCAGTTGATAACAATAAATTACCCTGTTATACTCTTTCACCGACGCAGCACCACAGTTTCTAGAGAAACTTACCCTCATCTATTTATAAATAATTGGATCGTTTATGGCTTTTCACATGCCGTTGAACAGAGCGATTGGAATCTATTTCACGGAGCGATTGAATCGCTCTGAAGAAGAGCTAACGCTCAAAACGTAAGCCTTTTAACTCTTATGGTGGCCAATTTACGTTTTCAACTCAGTTAATAACACTTAATTACTCCGTTGTACTCTCCCACCGACGCAGCTCTACAATTTCTTGAGAAACTTACCCCCCTTTCTCTATAAATAATTGGATCGTTTACGGCTTTTCTACGCATTCATTCTCTAGGGAATTGTATAGAATGGCTTTCGGCATCCACTAAAAACAACAGTGTTGAACAGATTTTGAATTTGTACCAGTGCTTGTGACGGTGTCCTAGCGGATTTGGACGCCCCTAGATTTGGACTCCCAGTTCAAATTCTCTGGCGGATATGGACCCTCCTCCGCGGATTTGGACCCCCCAACAAAATTGAGTGAAACCATCATCCTTGACATTCTGGTAGAAATAGATAATTGGATTTTCGTTCCAGTGCATACTAACATGTGTATTGCCAATGCATACGACCTGAGAGCTGGAAATGACCTGTCAGATGGTACGGTGCGAATTAATAATAGTTAAAATTAGGAAGTAAGATTGAGTTCGATGTAACAGTCTCCACCTTTGTTAATGTTGATTTGCACCTGAAAATAAGCTGGGAGTTCCAATAGTTCAGAGTAGAAACATTTTTACTTATTATCTGAACCTGTCAATTAAAGAGCGTGTAATTAAAAAAAAAGAGCATGTACACTTTTAAAAAAAAAACGAAACTAGTTGGAAGGACTGTCATGACAGTGTTTTCTTCAAAAACAGTTAATAATATTACGGAAAGTATTATTCACTCTCTTCGACGATTAATTCATGAACGAAGATTTACCTCTGTTCATTAGGTAAAAGGCGAGGAAAGTAATTGTAAGTAAATTCAAATTGTTTATTTTTAAGTTGTGAGAGTTTGCTTATTCGTTTCCTGCACTGGCGTGTGTAAATCTGGTCTTTCC